TTCCAATTTCGGGCTTCCAAATGCCCATATTCTATTAAGTACCACATAGGGAAATTTGGTGCTCCATGATCCGTTTGTTTTTTCGCAGAGCAGAAAAATACATACATTATGCAGATCTTCATTATTAATTCTTTAAATATAAAGCAGGCTCTAACATTTGGTGGCAACAATCTGAAAAGTGAGCCGGCATTTACAGTGATCACGCAAAATGCCAAAACGAAATTAATAGGGGTTAAAAAAAAAAAAAAAAAGAGAGAGAGCTTTGAAACTTTTCGCCAAGGACCATGAATCGTATGTATGAAAAGAAAAAATAAACAAAATTATCTTAGTTGATCACAAACTGGACACTTAATAATAATTTTGACTTTCGAGCTACAAAATTTATCTGTAAAGCTTTTTCAGTTAGTAATAATTTACTAATGTTCAAGGAAGTCATGTTTCAGTTTGAACCCTTCCAGATTAATAAAAAGTTTTCTTTAGTTATTGATATTAATTTTTCAACACTTTCAAATTTCTAATGTATTAGTTTCATAATGTTTCATTCTTATTTTCCTAGACACATAACATTTGTTTTCGCTTTGTACCGCTATTTCTTTGCATATAAAATCGTTTCGCTCCAACGTCTAATTGCTCTCGAAATTGATTTCAAAATCTTTGCCAGAATAAAGTTGTTTTTTTGTCCAATTTTTAATATCTATAGGCTATTTAGCATTAAAAAAAGATAAATATGTGGTACTTATCCATACACCCTCTCGCTGTATACTCTAGAAACAGGCCTTAGTCAAATAATATGGGCAAATTTTACGAAAACATTGCCGAATCTTTTTTTTTTTTTAACCAACATATATGCGTTATCAGCTAAACATCCTTGTTGGCTAAGTGTTCTTTCGGCAAAATGTCTCGTTGCCTAAGTGTCAGCAACCGTACTACATTAATTACTGTACTGTAACTTGAAAAACTGTACTCACTGGTCATTTTCTGGTGAAAAATTCGTTGTATGCTGCGCTGTCCTAGACGAGAATGAAAATGCCTGGTAACTTAGCGGCCCTGCTATAAAAACAGTCTCACGGCTTCTGTAAAACCAGGAGCCAATTTGAATGATACAGCAAAAATTTAACCATTTTTTTTTTCCATATTTCGATTCAAATTATACCTAGATACTAAATTTTGTAAAATTTGGTGCGAAATTTGCGGAGAAATTCAAAAAATTCATCTTGGCGCAATTTAGAATAATTTACATACATAATTACGTATATCTTTGGAAATTTTCTTTAAAAAAACTAATTTTTTTTGTAGGTATGCGTAGAAATACATCTACTTTAAAACGATGGAAAAATTTTATAGGTTATAAATCAAAATTATAAAATTTATTTTTAAATACAATTTTTAAAGCCAATCTTAAAAACTAATATAGACATGTTTCATATTAGTAGCACAGTCATAGCTTTGCCCTCTGCAAATTCATTGGTCCAAAGATAATGTATTAAAAATAATTTATTGAATTTTTTTACACCAGCGGTTCTCAACCTTCTGACTAATGCCATACCATCTAAACAAAAAAACTGAAAAACTTTAGTGCCACCACTACGTTTTACAATGATAGTTTTTTAATTTTCACAACCTATTGGCTATTTGTATTAAATACGCACACACATAAAAATATTAGCTTAAAAATTGGTTATTATTTTAACTATTAAAATTAAAGTTATAATACTTTCACTCCAAAATTTAGTGTGAAATTTGGGCCTGTTTAAGAGAGAAGTTTCTTTATGTCTGGTCTTATTTTACTTAGCTTTAACAGTAAGTTAGTATCCACTTTTAATTTTGTTCTGTATTTATTTTTCAAATAAAACATGAAGGAAAATCCTGTATCAAAAGGCAGTTAATAGTTTTATTTGAAATGCCTTTATATTCTTTTTTTTTTTCGATTCAGCCAAAAGTTAACAAGTGTGTAATTTTTGAAATATTTAGTTAAGAGTTCAATCACATGAAATTTCTATCAATTGTTCTTTTACTTCTTAAGATAAAATTTCATGTACATTTGAACAAAATGGATTTCTAATCTACTTTTCTTCTTTATAATGCTTGGGAAAATACATGTTGAAATTATTTATCAATGAAAAGTAATGATTTTTAATGTCGGATGCTAATTCTTTTATTTTCAAATTCTTTTTGGTTAGAAAACTTTCTGAAAGTGGTAACAAGCTTAAAATATTATTATCTAATTATTTGATTATCAGATCAAGTTTTTTCATCATTGCATTTACCTGTAATGGTGAACAAATTAACACTTTGTCCTTGTAATCCTATATTTAATTTATTCAACTTTCCAAAAATATCAGCTAAATATGCGAAACACGCAAACCATAATTCATTAGATAAGAATATTTGCAATTCAAATTTTGAATCACAGAGGAAAATTTGAATTTCTGATAGAAGTTCAAAAAGACAATTTAAAACTTCGTCTCTGGATAACCACCTTACTGCGGAATAGTAGACCCGCTTCACTGGGGGAAGTTCCATCCAAGTAGAGCGTAATGCGAAACAGCGCTAAACGAGACTATCTTAACATGTAAATAATGGGATTAGGGGAAGATGGATAAACAAATGTGGATTAACTTATAATGTTTTTTTAATAAAAATAAAATCAAACTTTTTCTACAAAAATAAAACAATACAACGCATCTATTTAAAAACAAATAAAATTCTCAGATCATTCAGTCTATTCTGGTTCAATTTTCTGCCTTTTGTAAGAAGGCTTATGAAGATTGGTACGGACCTGCGCCAATTCGTCGTCATCCTGGACAGCGTTTTCCATTCTCTTAATGTATTTTAGAACGGGTAATTCTATTCCGTGCCGCTGACAGTATTTTTTTTCTTAAGAATGTCCAGTTGAGTTGCCAAAATCATGCAGCCAATTGAGATTGACGGTCACAGAATAATTTATCACTGCATTGATTCCAGGAATGATTTTCTGGTGCTTCTTCCTGTTTTTTTATCACCATGATAAAAACTTACGATCCTAATATTGTCCTGATTACGCTATAGATTAGACAAATTTTTAATTACATAATGTCAACAAAGTTTAACTTAAAAATGGTCACAGCAGAAAACAGTACATTACACAGAGAACGATGTGATGAGAGCTGTCCGTGACGCGTTTGCAGCACAGTAGTAGTGATAAAGTGTGTTAATAGAGCAACATTGTTTTTGAAGATATTCCACCGCTGTGCGCAACATTGGTGCTGGATTTTTAGAGAAATTCCGTTTAAGAGCATTCAAATAAGTGGTGGGCGCCCACTTTCCACAGCGCAGTGTCGTGTTGGATCGACCAACATGAGAGGCTTTGTACGCTCCCGTTGTCGGAAATGTGACATGCTGCCAGTTTGCTCTGCAGAACCATGCTTACATGGGAGCATGCATAGTACTCGACCCGGTGGAGCATAATTCCCGCGGTTGCCCCGTTATAAGCAGTTTGCATGGGCCGATTAGCAGCGAGGTTGGAAGTGTTGGGGCACTCAGTCAAGATGCATACTGGCAGTTCTTTAGCCACATGTTGCACTTCATTGCCTATACTCCTACGGCACTGGCACCAACAGAGTACAGCCGAAAGGATAGGGATACTAATGAGAGTTCTTGTATTTGTTAAACAGGGCTCCCGTTGGCATGCTTGAAGTGCTTGGAGCTTCCGGCGAAGTCCGTTAAATATGAACTGATTAAGACCACCTTCCGACGTGGTGAGGCTGGTGTAAGGCTAGTTCTGCTGAAACCTGAATTACCCGTTTAATCTTCATTTCCGAGAAGAATGCTGCCTCTACAAATCGCAGAATTCACACTGTGCCAGCCTTGTTTGATCATCAGTGTAAATGCTGATCTTTTGCACCGGAATTAAGTTATAGGATGGTGTCATAGTCAAAGTGCGGGTGACAAGACAACGACATTGTATTTTCATAGTCTGTGTGGTAGGCTCTGCCCCCATCGGATTTTTTTATTAAGCCTTGCAGTTTATCACTGCGGTTTCCCTCGGCACTACAGATCAAGAAGGAAGACCGCAATGACTGTAAGCAATTTGGAGAAGTCGATAGGCTCGACAGATGAGCAGAGTCACTCCTTTGCTGGAAAAAAAGTTTTCTTATGGTAGAGGGAGTGCTCCCCAGATGGAGACTCTGTCATAATGCGTTATGCCTGTTGTATAAGATTCAGGAGCTGCCCACTTATACCTCACTTAAGTTTCATACTGTTAGTGCGACGCATGCGCTGCGGTCATTTTAAGATGAGTCCATGAAAGTTTATTATCAAAGGAGAGACCTAGGTATGTCATTTCTGAGACTGTTTTTAATGAATATCCCTGTAGTTTTAGATAGGTTCTTCTCCTAAGGGGATGATGGCCTCCTATTATCATGGCTTGTGTTTTTTCTGCACTTATTTCAAGTTTATGCTCCTTGGCCCAATTGAGCAAAGATATCTAGATAATCCTGCGATCTTTGTTGGATGTTGCTGCGGCCCGCTGCAATAATGAGGAAATCATCAGCATATGCCAGAATCTTGACTTGGTGAAGGATGCTGAAACACTGGAATGCAGTGTTTGCTACTAAGTTCCACAGCACGAACCCTGAGGACAGCCACGAGTAATTTTTTTGGTGGTGACATCATTATTCATCGTGATTATACAGAATATAGTGATAAAATGGAATTGAAGCTTCAGGATTTAATAGTTCAGTATTCTATGCTGAAATTTAATGTTACTGTAGTGGTTCAGAGAAAATCTAAATTACGGATGAATTGCTCCTTAAGTCTATTTTCAGAAATTAATTTAATGGTACTGATGAAAAATTTACAATGCCTCTCCAGTTCTATTTTAATGCAGCAAATGAATTTGCAAAATATACTGTATGCCTTGATACCTTAAATTACAGATTTTAGTAACCAATAATTTACTGAAAATTCAGAGATGATATAAGATTACTTATAACACAAAAGATAAAAAACACATACAAATATCTCCAGCATATATGTTTATTTCCATACAAGCTCGCTCAGTTTACACTACAGTCTTTTCTTTTTCAAAAGGGAAAAGAAAAACTAAAACATAATACAATAAACATTTAATGTAATTTATAACAATTTTTTTTCCTTAAAAAATCTATTTCCAAGCTCTTGATTACGCATGAGCTACACCAGTGCGAAAATAGTCCTATAAAGTTATTTTGTTTGAAATTTACTATTACACAACTATTTTTAATAAAATTAAACTTTGTTCTAAAAATATGAAGACAGATTCATAAATTTTCAATTAAAAAATTACAAACTGACCAGTCAGAGAATTAAAAAACTGGTATAATACGCCCCACTATTTAGCAAAACTATTAGCTCTATACAGTGGCAGTTCCAAACGATTTCAGATGCTGCAGAACTAAAAATAATGTGCAATTCACTGTTTATTAATTTATTGTCACCGATACTTATCTGCCAGTGGTTTATTACGCCATTCAGAAAAACAAAATTTTTACATTGCCTTCATATAATATTTTTCATTCATTGCAAATTAAACTCTCACATACATAATATACTTAAATGAAGTCAATAGAAGAGATATAATAAAAAAAAGAGTATTACTTTTAATTATTCATTTCATTACTAATCTGAAGTCAAGGTACAAGATATTTATTTAATACATGGCCAAAATCTAAAAATATTTTTAAAAATCTTAAGTTATTTTTATTTTTTACTATCTGAAAAAAGTTAAGTACTTCAGAACTGTAACACAGATTAAATGATTACATGCATGAGCTCATATAGAAACATGTCTCACATTATATATACAAATAGCAATAAAATATCTAGGTGTTTATTAAATTCAATATATTTATTACAGCAACGAGCATTAAACTCTGAAAAAATTATCAAAAATCTAGAAGCTGATGACACAAATTTTAATTGCAAAATAAGCAGTCTCTCAAAAAGGTATCGATATCCAAATGATTTTTTTTTTAATAATGCGAGATGTTTTTCTAAAAAATGATATATATTTATAATCTTTTGCATAGGCTTCAGCCATGCTCGAATGAGAATTGCTTAAAGTGACAAATACAAAAATGTGACAGCAAAATTTCACAAAGTTTTGCAGTGTGGAGGAAAGTATAATATCGGTACCTTTTGAAAGTAGTTTTTGTCCAATATAAAATATAATTTTCTTTAACACGTTAGCAAAAATTGCAACAACTCAAGATGCTGCTGCATTTGTGCAATGACTACAACAATGTTGATGAGCAGCTGAAACTGAGAATTATCAGAAAAAACTGCTCAATAAAACAAATTACGACTATGATTCTCTTTGGTTAATTACAGACGCAACTTCTATTACCACTAAATTTATCTCCCAATGCACCACACGCAATGCCTGGGATATCCGATCGCCTTATGTGCTGCCTTCCAAAGGAAACATAATGACAGGCGCTGTACAAAAAGTAAAGGAGGCAAATCACAACCTGGAATCCACTGTATAAGACACTCACTAGGAAAAAGTACACACACAATGCCATCTAAATGCACAAACTGACTGATTTGGGTACATTTTTCTTTTAAAATTTTCCATGGGTGTGGAGTGGTTTCCATAATTATTATCCAGTATCTTGGGGGTAAGAAAGGGAATGTACCACTTTCTGCAGCACTGGAAAAGTGCTGTATGCAATCCATTTGATGCAGAAGTTTGGTAAAGGCAATACAATCCATTTGAATATACACTGTAACAGAAAAATAAATATCTATAACACACTACATTTACAAAGCAATATCTAACAAAGTGCAAAAAAAGGGGGGGGGAAGGAATGTAAAACTTTATAATCTTTAATCAGGTAATTTATTTCTAGTACATGAATGTAGAAAATAAACATATACAGATTTATTTATCAATTTCTCTTGCAACATCAGTATCAATTATTCATTCTATGATCATATTTCATAGTAACTCAAATTTAAAAATTAAAGAAATAAGGTATTTTAATGACAAAAATTCATGCATGCTGAAAAATCCACAAAGGTGGTAAAATACAACAGCCTTATTATGCTAATACAAAAGTACAAAGTCCGAGATCTGGACTCATTGCAACTTCGGCTATCCCGGATTTGGGATTTTTCCGGCTAATTAGATCATCAGTTTAAATCTAGTAAGATGATAGGTAGAAATTATAAAATTAAAAATATGAAATCATAATTTATGAAATAATGCAGCATTTATGATTTAAAGGGTATCAAAATTAAACAAAAAAAGCTTAATATTTATATGTTTAATTTATTAAACATTCCTTTCAATATAAGTTGTTTAAGTAGCCTTGTATTTTTATGCTAATGCTTTCTCTTAATTCTACAGACATATAATTTCTGGTTGAGTTACGAAGTTACACAGTTCAAGTCCTCTAACTGCTGGGTTGAGAATTCTGACTAACATGTCAATATAAATTTCTTCGCTCTCAATAACCTCTCTGCCACTTTCTTCACCATCAGTAGTGATATTTTCTGTAACTACAACCATACTACAGATTTTGCTGTCTGTTAATTGATGGATGATTGGGGCATTGTCATCGCAATAAAAACTTCTGTTAATTACTCTTTTTCCTTAAATTCTGACGCATGGTGCGGCCATGCAAGCTCTGGTGCTGGTTCTGGCTTTATGTAAAAAACAAATCAGTTATTCTTAATTCAAATAGCACTAAATGTAATCTTTTGGTCTATGAGTTTCATTAACAAAATCTATTTTTAGCATATGAAAAGATATTTTTGTTAAATTTTTTCTTGTCAACATTCCCTGCATGAGTCATAAGTCAAACTGTCATGTGTTGATAAACATATGGTGAAAATTATGTGATAAATAAATAATGATTCACCAGGTTGGCATCAAGGATATATTAGTCAATGTAAAATCAACAATGTTTCTACGTAGAACATTTTGGTTTGACATGTATGCCAAGCAGATACGCAGCCATGGAGTCAAATTATTGATCGCACAAATTTATGCTAAAATGATTATTTCTTCAATAATGAGGTACTTTATTTAGTGCTAAAGTGAGATTAAGAATCAGGACTCTCCACATGTTTTATAATGAGGACGGAAAATTTAAATGCACATGCGTAAAGCATACCCCCCAAAAAAAAGTTGGTGGTGGCTTTGAGGTCCAGATTTTAGATCATTCTGGATATTGGAATCTCGGACTTTGGTCTATAAATATTTCCCATGCCAATCCCTACCATGAGCATAAATATACAAGAAGGCTTCAAAGCAACATGCTGTTGTTTTGTAATATTTTGATGAAAGAATATGATTTAGTCATCACTTGAAACCGTTAACATTAAGCAGGGTAGACATTTTATTGTTAAAAACAAAATTAAATATTACGGGAAGTAGTATAATTTGGCGGCCTATGATTTACACTAGTGATATTGGATAGCTCACATAAACAAGGATTTATTTTAGCATCTAATGGAAGAAAAATCCATCAGAATGAAACAGTAATATTAAATGTTACAAGAAATGAACAGTAACTTCGTAAGATTTAATCTACTTTTTTCAAATGAAAAAATGCATTTTGTTAAATGCCAAAACCACTGTTTTGAAAAGGAAAAAGGAATATACACTTAAAGATTTTATTTTGAGAAACATCAATTCATGGCTTCTAGAGAAAATAATTATTATATACAAGTTCATCTTTGCATCTGCTCCTTTTAAATCAAGATTGATAACTACTAAAGAAAACTAATGCAAATGTAAAAATAAGAAATGAAAATTTATAGTTTTAGCTTATTACCAAAGATTTTTCAGCCACTTAAATTCTAGCCGCAAAAATTAATACCTTTATTACAAGATCAAAATTTTTATTTAATGCAACAGTTTTTCAATATATAACCGTAAGTATTTTTTTCAAGATGTGGCACATTTTTGAATTTAGGAAAATTATCAACTGGCACTGAAACTATTCATTGGTGCCGACAGATGATAAACAGTAGTTTTATGTTGCTTCTATATTTTCTTGTATTCTATAAAACTATCAAAAACTGAAGGCAAATTCATATTTAAAATTTTCACTTGGATTTTGGAAGATCATTTTACAGCATATATTTTGTGTAAATTCTTCTGAAATGTATTATTTAAGTTATTTACGAGGGCAATCCCAAAAGAAAGGTCTCCTATTTTTTGGGGACGTAGAGAAAGTTTTAATATGGTTGTTGGCAACACTGCTGTGAGTGGTGCCTTTTCCGCTACCACATAAGCACACAGGCGCTTCGCTCGGACGCTCAGTCTTGGGTTGGCAGCCATTCGAAACGAAGCTCCCGATAAACGTTACCGCCAAGTGCGAAGTGCGCGCAGTGATTCGATTTCTGAACGCAAAAGGCGTTATACCGGTTGAAATTCACTGCCTATTGACGGAAGCGTATGGACAGTCGTGCATGGATGTCAAAAACGTTCGCAAGTGGTGTAGAGAGTTTACACCCCGTCTACTGAAATTCATGCGAAGAAAGGACGGAGGCCATCAATTGCGACAGACATCGCGAAAAGTAAAGGAACTCATGCACATACAAAATTATAAGATTAAAAATTGGTTACTATTTTAATCAAAATTTAAGTTATAATACTTTAGTTCTAAAATTTAGGGAAATGGCTGTTTAAAAGAGATCAATTCTTTATGTCTGGTCTTATTTCATTAGTTTTGTGCAATTAAGATCCACTTTAATTCCATACTGTATTTATTTCAAATTAACATGGAGAAAATCCTCATTCACACAATAGGTTGCACAAAAGCAATAAACTGTAATGCTTTTTTTGAAATCCTTTTTTTCTTTTTTTTTTTTGTGGTTCAGCCAAAAGTTAAAAACTGTGTCGGTTTTGAAATCTTTAGCTAGAATTTGATCACAGAAAATTTCTAACAGTTGCTGTTTTTCCTCATGAGATAAATTTTCAGGCACATTTTAACAAAATGGATTTCTAATCCAATTTCCTTTTCCATAATCCTTGGAAAAAGACACGTTGAAATTATTTATCAATGAGAAACAATAATTTTTAATATCAGACAATTATTCTTTGTTTTTAAATTATTTTCGGTTTGAAAACTTTTTAAAAGTGCTAAAAAAGCTTAAAATATTATAAACAAATTCTTTGCTTATTAGCTCCAGTATATTTATCATTGCATTGATTTTATCTTTAATGCTAAACAAATTTTACACTTTGTTCTCGTAATCCTAAATTTAATTCATTTAACTTTCTAAAAATATCAGCTAAATATGCTAAACGCGTCAACTGTAATTCACTAAATAAACAATTTTGGATTAAAATTTTGAATCATGGAAGAAAATTTTAGTTTCTGATCAAAGTTTAGTTTTTGTCTCTGGATAGCCACATTATTTCGAAATGTAACAAAAGCGTTTCATGTTTACTGCCCATCTACTGGCATAAAATCTTAAATATCCTTGAATTTAAAGCTCGGCTTTTAATAAAACTAACAATTTTCCCAGCTTGATTAGAAATGACTTTTAGGTTTTTGGGGATTGTTTTGGATATTAAAGCTTCATGATGAATGGAGCATTGAGTAAATTTAGTTTCAGGTGCGACTTTCTTTATTTGAGTAATAACACCTGAAAATTTTCCTGTTAAAGCCCGACCTCCATTAGTGCATACAGCAATGCACTTATTCCAAGGGATATCATTCTCAGATATAAAATTATAAATTACTTTAAAAATTTCATTTGCAATTGTTCTATCATGAAGAGATTCACAAAATAAATACTATTTGACAATTTATCATTTTCAAAACGTGTGTACCTTAACTGAACAAAGTTCGTTATATCACTACTTTCATCCAACTGGTTTCATACTTTGATTTGATAAACAGTTCACCACAAACAAAACATTGAGGTTGAGGATCCATTTTATCTTCATTCCAAGTAAATCCAAATGATAAATAACTTATTAAACACCTGCTGTGCCTAAGCTCCTTCTGAATCTTTGATACTTTTGAAGGGAAAAAGGTAAGTGAAACCATTTTTCTAACTTTAGAACTTTTCAACCTTTGAATTTTAAACTTTAGAAATTTCCAACCTTTTAAAATGAAAAATTTAGTTATAATTTCAGCAAATCGATGTAAAAAAATGACTAATTAAAAATAGAGCAATGTGAGCCCAGAAATAGTTATGACATAAAGTACACACCTGTCTAATAAAGTGATCAACTCTAAGAGAATTAATGAGATACTATTCATAGCAACTTAATTTTATTTCTTATTAAATACAACATATATTTCTATTACTCCTTTTAAAAACATAAATTATGACAAATTTTGTTAGGTCTATGGCTAAAAGAACATTTTTGAAAATAAAAATGAATTATTTTACTAATGAGTGGCTGTTACCTTTAACAAAGCTCAGATATTAATTCAGAAGTCAAACAACAAAAATCAGCGTTAAATTACAAAATTTTCACAGGACTAGTTTCGATGGTTTTACCGAACCATCATCTTCAGCTGCAAAACCGCAAATGAACAAGATAGGAAACACATTTTGTTTTTCCAAAATAAATATTTACAAGCAAACTGAGGGATTAGCCATGGAAGCCCCCTCAGTCCCATCCTGGCTGATATCTACATGCATTATTATGAATCAAAATTGTTTGAAACTTTAAAAACTTCCCGGCATGGTTCCGCTACGTAGACGATACTTTTACCCCTGTTTGAAGGTAATAAAGATGATTTTTTAAATAGAAGTTCTTTCAACAATGAATTCTATTGATCCTGCTATTCAGTTCACTTTTGAACTTGAGACTTGCAATTCTCTTCCGTTTCTCGACATTCTGGTCACACGTAACACATCCAACTTCAGTACTACAGTTTACCGTAAACCTTCATCGGTTTGCCTTCCACCACACTTTAAATCATGTCATCCGACTAAACAAAAGTTAGCTTCATTTTATTCCTATGTTTCCCGTGCTCTTCAAGTTTGCTCCTCCAAACTAGCCCTTGATGAAGAACTAAATTATTTAAAAGCAATAGCTATTGACAGGGGCTTTTCACCCAACATTATTAATCAAGCAGTTAAAAAATTCTCATCTCAACACACTAAAAGCCACACTCTTATTTTAGGAGATTTATAAAAATTCTGTTGTCATTCCCTTCTTTCCATCAATTAGCTATAAAGTTGCACATATTTTGCAGAAATTTAACTTTCGGGTTGTTTACTTCTCCCATCAATAAAATTCCAACTTCTATACTCAAGGACCCCATTCCGGATATGAATTCCTGGGGTATTTATAGGATTCCTTGCCAGTGCGGTTTAATTTACATTGGCCAAACTAAGAGAGCCTTAAAATTTCGCGTCAAAGAACATGAGGCATATGTTAGAAAAAAGGAAACACAGAAGTCTTCTGTTGCTCAACATTGTTGGTCCGAAAATCACACTTTCAATTTTTCTGCTGCTGCCAAAATTATTCAAAAAACATCTTCCATTGGAGAACTGGATTTTCTAGAGGCATTTCACATTCATAAAAATCTTTCTGTTTTAGTTAACGATCCTAATTCCAATCCAAATTTGCCTTCGGCTTTTAGAGAAATTATGTTTTAGTTCTGGTTTCGCCAACAGATGGCGCCACTTGCTTATTCTTGTCCAGGCTTTCTTATCTAAATATTATTTCCTATCTTGTTCATTTGCGGTTTTGCAGCTGAAGATGATGGTTCGGTAAAACCATCGAAACTAGTCCTGTGAAAATTTTGTAATTTAACGCTGATTTTTGTTGTTTGACTTCTGAATTAATATTTATTCGGCGTGTTATTGTGTCTTAATTAAAGCTCAGATAGTATAAATTTACGAGTATTAAGAGAAAAAACTTGAACAGGATGTTGTTGTATATAATGTTTGAATTTAATAGTTAAAAATATTTTATTTCTTTGCATACCACTGGTTGAGAACCTCTGCTCTAGAGGATTAGGCAAAAGCTAGAAAAGTAGAAATTCATTATTTTCTTGTGCACAATACAGTGCAAAGTAAATCTATTTGTATGGAAAGTTAAATGTGCAATTTCTAAATTGCAATGTATATTTTATTTTATTTAAAACATTTATTACTTTGCATACACTACATGAATAATAGTATATCATACAACAGCATTTTCTAATTAATCTGGAATAAATTACTTATGGATACAATGGCACTACTATATTCCCAATAAATACCAAATCTGATAAATTAAGAAACGCTACTATTTTATTCAATGAAGTATTAGTATTTTATTAATTAAAAAACGAAATTCTGAGCTTCATAAATTTAGAACATATTGCAATATTTTTCTTCCATTCAAACTGAAAAATAAAGAGATTAAAAATGGCCAATAACCAAAATTACATTATAAGATTACTGGAAAACTTAACCCTTTTGTGCCTAATGGGACACATACGTCCCAAGCAAATTAAAAAAATGCTTTTGGGATAGAAACGTTTCTCTGTCTAATGGGAGACTTTCCCACCAGTCCTGCTAATATTTTGAAGATATTTTCATTCACAGAACATAGATGGCACTACCGTACATAATGCATTTCCCATGTTGTAGCAGCTCATTCCATACTCTACGAATGTAAATAGTTTAGTTTTGGAAAATACCGCCTGTTTTCGATTAAATTTTGATTGATCCATAAATCTAAGACCAGATAAGTTACTTACGAAGCGGATTACCTCTAATACACTGAAAAGTGGCAAAGTTTTACTTCAGTTTTTATTATCGGGACATATGTGTCCCTCTCGTCTTGGATAGTGGGAACGCATTGTCCCAACAGTCTTATATGATCATTTCTCGAGATATTATATTTTTTGGTTACTTTTGAAATACTTGCTTATTATTTTTAATTTAGGCACAAATTAATTCAATCTAAAATGACTGGATGCTGGGGACTTACAAATGAAGAAATAAAAAATTTTTTAGAAGAGTCAGATGACGAAGATATTGATTTGGATGATGAAATAGATGATCCTGATTTTCAAGATCCAGCACACAATTTGCAGTACTCATCCGATTCAGACGAGCGTGAAATGGATATCGATCATGATACCATTTCCCAAAATACAAAGAACAACGATGCTTTGAGTGATACTGATACGGCATCACTTTCATCAGAGATACCATCAGCTAATGCTTTCAGGCTACAAACCAATCTTATGGTTTCATGCAGATTCAACTTTCCAATCTCGAATGACAATTCCAGCAGAGTCATCGCCTAGTTTGTTATTCAACTTAAATCGTTCAGCTACTGAATTGGAACGTGTTTCTCAAGATATTTCCAAAAAGTCTTATGATTTGGATCTCTCAATACACAAACCAATGACTCAAAAAGTTAGGACAAACAATTCACCCTACAGACCCCCTCTGAAATTATGCTTGTCCTTGGATGCATTTTTGTCATGTCTTACAATAGGGAGACCGAAATTCTCTCTCATTATTGGTTATTTAATCCTTATTTGGGAAACGTAGGGGAACAAAAAAAAAAAAAAAAAAAAAAAAAAAAAAAAAAAAAAAATGCTATTTCAAGAGACAGATATGTAAACCTTGGTGTCAAAATTATATTTTGCTGAACCAGAAAATGCAAGTAAAACATATTATATTGACGAGGTTGTTTTGTTCCTGAAACAAACCTTCAAACAGTGCCGAAGCAAAAGCTCATATCAATCTATTGATGAATCAGTGGCGAAATTCAAGGGACATTCATCCCTCAAACAATATATGCCGATGAAACCTGTGAAAAGAGGGATAAAAATTTGCACAGCGACAAAAACAGGATATGCATATGACATGGACATTTATTCTGGAAAAGAAACGGGTGAAGCTCAAGGCACACTCAGGGAACGGGTAGTATCAAAGCTAACGGAGACAATCCGAGGTAAAGACGTTATGCTTGCATTTGACCGATTTTTTTTACAAGCGTGCACCTGATGGAAACCCTGAAATTTCCTGCTGTTGGTATGTGCATCAAGACTCGTAAAGATATTCCTAATTTTGCAACAAATCTAAGCAAAAGGGGTGAGGCTGAGTTTCTCGTAACTAAAAATGGAGCAATGTGGTGGCTTGATTCAAAGGAAGTGATGATGCTCAGTAATTGCCACGAAGCTAAATACATAAAAGTATATCACACCATGAAAGATGGAAGCAAAGAATTTGAGTGCCCTGTGGCAATCGAATTTTACAACAAAATCATGGGAGGTGTAGACCTTGCAGATCAAATGGTAAATGAATTGAAAATCTTGCAAGTGGTGGAAAAAAGTATTTTTTACCTATTGATGAGTGCAGTGGTCAACTCATGGATTACGTACTGCAAACTCAAATATAGAAAAACCCCACTTCTTGATTTCATTGTGCCTCTTGCAGAAGCCTTGGTGGCTCAACGCACAGTATCAAAGCCGTAGAGGAACTGGACGCCCATCCAAAACATTCCGATGCTTACTCAATGTTGGTAACCATCTGCCAATAACAACAAAAACACGACAGCATTGCCGTAAATATGCACAACAAAAGAAGGAATCACGCACTAAAATACGATGTGTAATGTTCCATTGTGCATTGATTGTTTCAAACCATACCATTCATAATTAAATTTTTATGACTAGAAAATCATTGGTTTTCTTTACAAAATTACTCATTGAAGACTACTGGGACACATATGTCCCAGTGGTCAGGACTGATAGGACATATATGTCCTGGTCCTAAATCAGTGTTCAAAAATTTCCTAAAAATATAACATCTTAGTTTTAGCATTCTAGTGTGTCCTACTCATAGTTTATGTTATCAAAATTGTTCTGTTATTAAAAAAAGTCGCGAAAGGGTTAAGACATATCAGGGTGGAAATCTGCTCTCTCCTTCCTGATTAACAATAGAAAGTTTCACAGTATGCTTATCATCAAAATGAACAGAAAAAAATACCCATAAAGTGATAATTCAAACAACAAATATTAAAGATCAAAATTAGAAAATACTTTTAAAATTATTTCATAATTTTTTTGCTAAGCAAGCCATAAAAAAAGTTTTCAACTAAAAACATAATCTTTAATATTACTCAATTCCATCCATTATATATATATATAAAACATTTTATAACTAGATGTCCGAAGATTATTACCTGAACCTTTGGCTGAATAAAAACTACACAGATAATGAAATGAGGCTATTGTAATGAGTCATGTTTCGCTTCAGAATATCTGCACAGGGACCCAAAATGCGTTCAAATCGAGCTCGATCGAGCTTGATGCATTTGAGCGGACCTTTAGCTTTTACTGTAGCTGCCCTGGGACGATCTAATAGCAGAGCTATTTCCCCTGTAACAAAACATTTTCTTCATTAAAAAGTACAAAATTTAAATAAAATATATGTACCTGTGGAAAAAAAAATATTATTGTTTATGAATTTGAGACAAAGATTTCTACACTATTGGATGTTTATCGTAAGCCAGTAAACATTATTAACATATGAAAAGAAAACATACTTTAGCAATTTAAAATACAAATTTTAATTATTAAATAAGGATTACAGGATATATAAAAAAATATAACGTGCAAATTTCAACAAAAGCAGCTATCTAGGAAACAGATTTCCTCGCTGTACCTACATTACATACTTTAAAAAAACTTTCAGCAAAATTCAGTGTTCCTGCAGAAATTTTATTGCAGTTCCTTCCATTGCTCGCAAATTCCAAAAGCTCATATTTTAAAAACTAAGGCCAAAAAGTATCATGATTTGTTTATGAAAACCATTGGAACTTGAAATACAACAAAAAAGAACACACATGAAAATGGTGGCATTGTTTGACTGAAGGAATGTTATGAGCATGGTTGCGGCAAGAAGGGTTTACGTACATGGTTGTCAGAGTTTGGCACATTTAAAAACTTTGGCAATTTCTACACACATAATGGGCATTTTATTTCAAAGAAAAACCGTATAAAAATTTTTATACTTAACCACTTATTCCAGAACTTAATAACTGGAGTTAATAAAAACAATTACTTTTCTGTCACCAACTTAATCATCTTAAACTTTATATCAAACAAAATTTTGCATAAAAGCGTATTATTTCTGTAGTAATTTAGAATAACATTTTAAATCCTACATACTTTATATGTCATTCTACATATCTACAATATTTTACCATCCCTTTATTTTTTGGAATATTATGCATTTATTATTATTAATCTTCAAACAACTCTTTTGAACAAAATTACACGCTAATAAATATATGCATTATTTAAAATTAACAAACTAATGAAAAGCTACTAATACTCTGAAAATAAAACAGGTAACCTGTTAAAAGCAGATATAAACGAAAACAGTAACAGATTGGAATTTTCACACAATATCAGTTATTCAGAGCAAACTTTATAGTATGTAGCATTGTATATATCAGAATTATAAAATTCTCTTAATTACAACTGTGAAGCTTTATTAATAACTATTAATTGTAGTTTACAAAATTAGTTCATACAAATGCAAGACCTTTTCATAATGTTGAAATTTTAATATATTTTACTTCTTTGTACTTTGCTAAATAACAATTTTTTTATAAAAATATTTACACACATAAAAATTCAGACTAATAAAACTTCTAAACTGGCCTAACAATGCACAAAATACTAACCAAAATAATCAGAAGGCCCTAAATGTCCTACTTCAACTTGAGGTTCAGACTCAGATCTGCGCTGCAGAACTACTGCTGTACCCTATTAAAAAAATGATCTACATGAATACTGCAGATAAAAATTCAGACCAATAAAAAGTAAACCAAGAAATTTTTTACTAAAAATTATCACAAATTTAATTGTCTTTAAAAGATCTTTAGACTATTCTATGGCCATTTTCAGAATGCCTACATTGCATTATAAATGTTATTAATCTTCAATATACTACTGTTAGTATTTTGCTGGGATGATCTAACAACCAGTGTTCACCACTGAGCTATTGGTAGGCCAGACAGGTTCTTAATTGCCATTCAATGTTAAATTATATTAAATTTCATGAGTAAACTGTACCTTTTATCGCATGTAGACAGTTCAATTAGAAGCTACAGAGTTTAATAAATTGGAGATATGTTTGATGATATTTCATGAAAATTCATGTTAAATACTAATTGAAGGGAATCATTATGATAGCTGAAGATCTTACAAAGCGTCCTGCCTGTAGTAGATAGATGGTCCTATCATCGCACTGAAAAAAGGTGTAAGTTAATCCTTGTAACCGTTCCATATAATATTGTATTGTGTTTTTCATCGCAATAAATGTTGTATATGAACTTTGAATGACACACCGACCACATGTAATTACCCCCCCCCGAACACTTTGAGGTAGGCCATGCTCCCTTACAATGATTATTTAATAATGTTTTTGGCAATTTCCATTTATTTACTAGAACAAAATTATCATATTATTTTAAAAAACTTATAAATAAGGACATGTTTCATCCAATAAGAATGCAAACGGCCATTTAACGCATCATATTGCATATTATAAATATACACAACTGAAGACACATTGTTATCAAATTAAATTTGAATATCTGAGAATGTTCTCAAGGTATTCAAATGAATGAAAGAAAGGAAATATATGCAAGTTAGGTTAACTGCTTTTGGCAAAGCATGTTAGGGCTATCTGACTAAGGGGAAAACTGTCTAAGGTAAATTGCCTCACATCTATGTTACACATGATGAAAATAGCCCATGCAACCAGCTCAATCAGCGGGATTTGAACCCAGGTCGAACTACTACTGTTTAACAACTTTGCCACTCAGCCTCTGTTGAGCATACAGAATATGCAGAGCAAAGCAGAACCTTAAACTACATTAATTTTTTTTTTTCAAATCTTATAAAATACAGGATTTTTGTTTTTAATCAAGGGTTAACTGCAGCACCTATAATATGCTATATCACATTTTTGGAATGGATTTATTATTTCAATTTAAGAAACTGAATAAATAGATTAATATTTTTTCCAATTAAAAAGTGAAGACATATAGGAACAAGTGAAATATTTCCTACCAGAATACATCAAAACGCGACGACACAATAACATTACAGCTTGAACATACTGCTTCACTATCCACTTTTAAGAAATAATTGTGCACAACTCGGGAGTGACTAGTTCTCGGATGAGTTAAAATGACTACCTTCCAATTATTCTTTGATTTCGAATATTCAATTCAGGGCATTGTGCTTCTCAGTTTATTATTCATTTGTAACTTCCAGTGTGACTGCCATACACACTCAGGCTTTTACTCTTGATAATTAATCACTTTAATATCTCAAAAGAACGAACGAGATGACTGTACAGTCCTAAGGCAAACTTTGCCGAGATGTCTGACAGCTCGTTATTTTTTAACCCTACATGTCCAGGAACCCAGCAGTAAAAGATCTGGTACTCATGGCTCACTAAGTCTGGAAACAGTCGTAGGACTTCTGCCACCATCAGATTCTGGGATTCAGAGAAACTTTGAGAAGCTTTTAGCACAATGACTCAGACAATATAAATTATAAACTTTTCCTGGTTAAGATAAAAATTTAAGAGTATAATACACTGCCATTACTTCAGCATTAAAGATAGAAAAAGCATTGCACAACCATCGTCCCTCTATGACCTCCAATCACAAATTATACTCTCACATGACCAGCAGATTTTTAACCATCTGTGCATATCAGAATGTAACTGATGTACTCATTCCTACGCTCATAAAAAAGCCACTTGTATACTAACTCATTCATGCTTCTCTTGGTGGTTGAAGAAATTAGGAGCCGAATTTTCACACCCCCCCCAAAAAAACCCCACAGGTTCTAGTTTTAGTCCCTCTACTTTGCTCTTCTGTTGGAAACACTGATCAGATTTACTTTCTCCCAAAATATCTGCTGGAAAACTATCCTTTTCCCATGGCCACTTTAAAATTCCTGAGCTCTGAGAACGTTAGCAAAGAAAAAAGAAAGATATAACAAGGCACTTCTTAGATATTCCACATATTAAACTTTAAACCTAACAATTCCATTGAATTTATATTCCTTAATATTATTAAACTTCATATGCAGTATATATTTTGCATGATACCAAATGGTGGCATGCTTATTTAAAACAAATATATAAAACTGCTGACGTCTTACATCTAGTTTTAAATTTTAATTCTTGTTGCCAAATCTATGAAAGCATTCCTAATAACTCTACATATATTCAAATTATATATGATTCTGATTTATATGTTAAGCCAATTATTTAGTTTTTTTCTCAGTTCCTACAATAATATATGAATTCAATGAATACCATATTATAATCTCATTAATATAAAGGAAATTAAAATTTTAAATTATGCAAATTTAATTGCAAACAAAATAAATTGATTAATTATTGCAGCAAACTAATTTGCAATTTTATTAAATTAAGAAAACATAAGTAAATAAAGTGCAAGCATGTAAATACAAGAAAAAATAATACAATCCTAAAATTTTATCTTAAAAACTTATGATAGCAACTAATATTAAAAAGGCTCTTGAACAATTAAAAGAAAAAGTGCACTTACATCTTCAATTATAAAGAAATCATCTCCTGGTTGCCCTTGTTCAACTATAACATCACCATCATTAAACTGCATTGGCTCTAAAGCATCAGCAACTGTTAATCTTTCCCACTCATCCAAGCTTTCTGAAAAAGCACAATAAAATAATAAACATTCGCTTAGAAAAACACAATTTTGGAGGTATAAAAATTATCTACAATTTCACAGGGCCTAGAACGTTTCTATAAAACTCATCTAAAAAGTGTAATTCTAATATTATAGCACTGAATTTTTTTTTCTATTAGTTAAGCAGTTCTACCAAAATAATTATCATTATGCATCACCACGACTTTTTTTAAAAATAAAATACCTCCACAAATGTGTTTGAATTTATGCAGCTAATATCTGCTATTATGAATTCAAAGCATGGGAAATGACAAGTAATAAGGCTCTAATTGAAAGGGATATCAAAATCCTGAATTATTTCAATCATTAATAATGATAAAAGCTGGCTTATTGATAAGAATAGGTAGAACCAAATACCCACCAGTGTGGTTAAGATAAAATTTTGTTTTTGGCTAGAGAAATTTTGGTTCTAGAATCTGAGTAAACATTATAAGTGATTTCTCGGATCCACATATGCATAAAGAATTTGATAACAAAGCTAAAAATCCTGCAGGATCTTTAAACTCTGTCACTGGCAAGCCAGAAATCAGCTTGCATGAGTCAGAGGTGGACCAAAGCCTTTATCTTTGAATAAAACATGCAATTCCTCTAAAATCCTACTTCTCCCCTATGCACTGGGTCGTCTATGGTTTTTTTTATGATAAATGAAGTAGTCCAAAAACATGAACATTTTACTGAATTGCACAAGCACCCTTTTGTTCTGCCCTTTTGCTATCTTTCCAGCAACTGGAAAATTCCTTTTTTAAGAAGTCATTAGGTTTATTTGCAAAGAAGTTACTGAGGTGCTATTTGATAGTCTCCAAAGAAGTGAACTAGCTGCTATTCAGAGAATTTTTTAAAGACTTCAGATGCAGCAGCCCTCTCAATGTTACCAAAGAAGGTTCTTTTGGCATTCCCATGACCATATTTCTTGCGAAATTATTACATAGTATCTATTCCCTTCTCGACCATGTACTGAATGTTTAGTCCATCTGACAGTTTCTGAACTGTACAACATGTATTTTCAATGATAGCTTCTTTTAAGAGGTCAGTGTTTACACAGTATGGTCACCTAGAGTACCTTTGAAACTGAAATTTCGAGATTAAACTTATCAAACCACTTTCAAACTAGGTCACCAACACTTAACCCATTAGCCGCTGGTGTTGCGTTGACGCAACGGTCAAAATAAATGCATATATAAATATAACTACCTAAGATATTTTATACCAGCAGATGATTTTGTGTAGAGAATATTATGAAGATTACTTCTGGAAAAAAATATTTGCCTTCAACAATCATTTTGTGTATAATAATTAAATCTCATACTTTAAGCAAAATTTTGATTGGGTATTTTTGCTGAAAATATTTAACGAAAGAATCACCCTCTTTATGAGTGATCTATTTTCAGTCAAGTTCACCATTTATCAGAACATTACATCAGTCAGATGTTTATATTTGTGTTGGGAAGGGAGGGAAAACAGGTGTTGCGCTGAGTCAATAGTAGTCAATCTCCTTTTTCACTCATTCCTTTCGGTGTTCTGGTTGTTCAAAAATGCCTAGAACGAGGTATCTTACATTAGAGGAAGCCCTTCAAAGATTTTTTGATGAAGAAACAGATGATGATAATGTTAATAATGACCAGAATGAAACTGATATTGTTGTTGTCCCCCCAGAAATTGCAGAAGCTAGCGATGAAGAAGAAAGGAATGGCTATGTTTTAAAGAATGATAATGATATTTTACCAAATGATACTGCTGGGGATGTTGAAATTCACGTAAGAAGTAAGTTTCAGCCTTTTAAAAGAAGTTAATAGTCATACTAAAAAGTTTAAAAAGCAGAAGACTGAAACCTTGAAGTGGATATAAAAAAGAACTGTTAGTTATGTCTTAGGAAGAACATGAAGAAAGAGATAGAAGAGAAATTATAGAAGTCAAAATACAAGATAAAACTAGTGCACAGATTTTCGTTTTGATTTAAATATTTACTCTCTTCTCGTCGAAGAGAAAAATATATACCCTCGGGGGGGGGGGGGGTGGCGCCCAAAATTTATTGCATCTGAAGCCTATATGAGAAGATTTATTGGAATATTATTGCTTACAGGATATCATTCTTTACCTCAAGGAAAAATGTATTGGTCTTTTAATAAGGACATTTCTGTTCCTGTTGTACGAGAATCTGAAGCAGAATTTGCATTAGACAATGGTCAAATTGACAATACTGCTAAATTATATGAGGTGAGACCGTATCTAAACTTACTAAATATCACCACTTTTTACTACTGGAAATATAAAGTCTCTTTTAGATTCCAGATGCGAGAATGCATTATTCCTTTTGCAAACTCCTATTGAGAGTGTAGAATCAGCCAGAAATAGATCAGCAACAGGAAGACCTAGTAAATTCAGCATTCAAAAACCACTGCATGGAGATGGTAGACATTTTATCGTAAAGTTCGTTGATAACAAAATGTTGTAGAGACCACAGCCACACTGTTTATGGATGCAAAGTATGTAATGTAGCTTTACATCATGATTGTAATCAAGTTTTTCATGCTTGAATCTTTCAACTGAAATAATCTGTATTTGTAAAAGAAATACAATGTATATTTTAATATTAAATTAATTACAAGTAAAGTGATTTGTAGATTTATAAAACGTTATACACCTGAAAAGTAATCCTGCACTCCAATCAAAAGAAACATCACACGAGTACAATCGCACCCACGAAACATCTGTAGTCTTATTCCGCTGATGTTGCGCGAATGCAACACTCACGTTTTCCACAGGTAAGAGCATTTTTTTTTATTTTCAATGTAAATTTATGTTATAAATGCTTAATATTTGCTATTATTTTCATAAGAAAAGAACCATTCCTTGTAGTTTTGGCGGTTAATGGGTTAAGTTCATATATAGCAAATTTTATGAGCAGCCTCACCTTTTTTTTTTAAGGATCATAATAAAACAAAAATGAACTTTTAGATTCTCTATTCTTAGCACTCACCTAAAAAAAAAATCATGCCACAACACATGGTAAAACTCTGCTTCGCAAACATAAAAGACCATATTTAAACATACCTTTGACAAGGTCACTCCTTATCAGCAATAACAAAATTATTAAAAGAAAATGTGCTTCCATTTCATACTACGCAGAACTTTCCAGATATCCTATACTATAAAATTTCCCTCCATTCAGATCACCTTTATTTTTCTTTACTCTTTTGTCTTAAAGTGTAGAAACAGGCTGAAAAAATTAACAAAAGCTTTCCCTAGGCTTCTCAGACATAATACACATAGAGTTTCTTTTTCATATCCAAACTACTTTTTTAAATCCGGGGGGGGGGGATAAATGGTAAGGGCAGAAAGTCTTTGCAATGCATGCTTCAGTGCAAGTAGACTTATAAAACTGAAAAATAGAATTCTCAGTTGCTGCTGAAACAGAAGGTATATTTTACAACTCCATTACACGAAGTTATAAAATTTTCTGCAGTATTACAATTGTAATAAGTTTTTTCTTATGCAATTTTTTAGATTGTGCAGAATTAAAACAATTTCTCTGAATCTATTCTTAAAAGAAGCAGATATGAAATTTCTTCTGAAACAAAAGAAAAACTCTGCTTGGAAGTAGAATTATTAATCAGTTTTTGTGTTAAATATTTAAAATGTGCATTATGGGAAGGGAGGGTTTATTTATTTATTTATTTATTTATTTTTTTTTTTAAGCACTCATTCTTTCTTCCCATAAAATAGCATCAAGTTGCAGCAGAGTTGTATTAATACGTAAGCACCAAACATTTTGCCTGAAACATATGGGTAAGCTACAAATTTAAATTTTGTTCTCGTCAGTAGAGTGCAATTTCCTACTTAAATGTAAAAATTATATTACCTAATACAGAAACCTTGCTCAGGAATTCTTGGTACATTTTTCTCTTTCTTATTGTACTTCCCTGCAAAATAAATTAAAAAAAAAAAAAATGTGTGGAAGTAACTGTTAAGCATAACTAATTGTTGATGAACTTTCATATAGAACATTGATGCTGTTTAGGCTTAACAAGATAGCTAATTTCGCTAAGAATTAAATAAGTCTTGTTTATAATTAGTGAATATAAATTAGAAAATATGGCATATAATATGATAAATCTGAGTCACATAGAAAAATTAACTGATGATAATTACCTTATATGGGCAAACAGAGTCAAAAGTACACTAAGAAGTTTGAAAATATAGAGAAGTGTGATAGAAGCTGATGAACCACCAGAACCATATAAAAAAGATGATGTTAATTTCGAAAGTGAAATGAAAACTTGGGAAATATGGGATGATAATAACGCGATAGCAAGAAATGTAATGAATCAAACTATGACAGCTCCACAAGCGTTAAAATATGCGAATGTAAAGAACGCAAAGAAGTTATGGGAGGAGAATAAAATAAAAAAAAAATTAAAAAAAGAAATGGCGGCAAGAACAGAAGATATTTAAATAAAATGTAGAATAGAATTAGCTCAACTGAAAATGAGTCAAAATGAATCTGTAGATGATTATATGAATAAAGCTGTAATTTTAAAAGTAAAAGTATTCAAGTTGGAGATGAAATACGAGATAAAGAATTAATTTACTTCATATTAGGACTTAGAGGGGAATTTGATGTTAAAATCATTAAAAGCAATAAAGAGAAGGATATAGCTTCAATCAGACAAGCTTTAAAAGAAACAGAAGGAAAAAAATAAACAAAGAATAGTTGCTCTATCTATAATGGAAGCTGAACTTTTAGCATTCTGTGAATGTGCATGTGAAGTTAAATGGTACATCTTTTTACTTGAAGAACTGGAACAAAATGATCTAATTGACAAACCAATAGAAATTAAAACAGACTGTCAAGCATTAATAGATTGGATAAAAAAACCAAAATAAAATAAGTTCAAGGCACATTAATCAAAAATATTTATTTGAAAAAGATGAATACGAAAAGAATCAAATCATACCTTATTTTATGAGTTCACAAAATCAAAAAGCAGATATTTTAACTAAATATCTACCTAGGGTGAAATTGAAAGATGAACTATTAAAGTATGTACATGACCAACTAATTAAAATTATATCTTTAAACACAAATAAGGTGGGAATTGATAGTATTTGTTTATAAAATATAATTTTAAGTTAAATTGTAAAAGAATGAGTTAAAAATAATCTGGCATCTAGAGAGTGTGTTATGGTTTTGTAGAATGTGGTAAGGTTTCTTATGACTACTTTTCTTTAATAAAGTTTTCTTTTTATATATTACTATAATGTGTTTTTATTAGAAGTAGATAATTCTTTAGAGAATATCATTTATATGCCAATCACAAACCAACACTAATTAATTTTCAACTTTAAATACAAAACACTGGGTAACACACCAAAAGACAAAATCTTCAACTCACCATCAAAATTCTTCTGTAAGTATCCCTATCTATAGCCCATAATTTGCAGTCTGTTTTGGCCTATAACACATTTTAGAATATAATTATTTTGAAATTGCTTATAATGATAAAAATAACAATAATAAAATTCACAAGAAATGAAAGAAACAAGTATAAAAACAGCTTTTACATTAAGAATTCTTAAAAACAATGCATGCTCAAAAAATGTGCATGTATACAACTATAAATTTACCTTGAAAAAGTAAATGGAGTCTGCCATCCAACAGATATTTTAGAATATGTTCTTAGGGACAAAAAGGTTGGATACCCCTGCTTTAGAGTAGTTTCGATTACCTCTTCTTAAGATTTGTATTTAAGCCCATGGACCTTACCAAAATTCAGAAAAAAAGAAGAAATCACAAGATTGCTCAGTCCAGAGCTAGCGATGCCAATCTATGAGAAGGGCTATCAGAAATGCTTAATTAAATCATGACTAAGACACTTGAACATTCCTCACATTAGATGAAGGAATAATACATACTAATATTACACCCATAAAAGGCATATTAGTGCAATTCTGCAAATGAAATATGATTAAAAGCAGAGCAAAATTATGACATACTTTTTCATGTTACTCTTCCTGACCTGAAAAGGTCAATTTTGCTACATGTATCACTACTACAGGCAGTTCTTCACAATTAAACCTACTCTGGCAACCAACAAAATTATGAGTAAATAATTTCATTTTCTGCCTAAGATATCTTACAGGCTTTGATCACTTGATCAATGGCAGATGAGAACGAAAAAAGATTGGATATTTATTCTGACATTTTTAGCTTGAATTACCTATTATATATGCCTTTCAGACTAAAATTTATGCAGTCTTCACTAGGCTATATCCTTTTTTCACACATTAAGTGCCATGTAAGTTACAAGTGCTCAACAATACTTTCCACTTAAATAGTATCAATCACAGCCATGGTTGATTGACAGTATAGTTTCAGTTTGGCCTACATAATGCACTTGTGACAGAGAGTATATTTTTGTTCAAGTCACGTTAATTACTGCCTGACTTATGATAAATGAATTAAATAATTATTTTCTACCAAATTCTACACAGATCTCCAATTACCAGCATATCCATGAAAATATATACAGCAATTATAACAAATTCAAATTTATAAAGAGTTAACAAATTAGAATAATAAAACAAAAAGCAAATATACGAACTCTGACTGTAGCAGCACGTGGTGTTCCATAAATTAAAGCCAATTCACCAAAACTTCCACCTTCACCAATAGTAGTTACAAGCTGTCCATTTACAAATACCTATAAAAATGTGTAAGAATTAATACAGTTTATAGATACAAAAATGAAAATTAATGGTAATAAAAATGTATGATGTAAAAGGAAAAATGATTCAGATTGCATCCAATTAATAATCCTTAGTATATAATAATGGTATTGATTGGAGAAAATTAAAACAAAAATAAAAGTAAAAAATATGAATCTTTCTTTCTGCCGAGAAACAGCATTAGGAAAATTGAAAGAACTTCATTCAGTTAACAATATATTTCATTCATGCAAGTATAAAACTGTAATTTACATAAACAGTCAATAGCTTTGATATAAAATATTTCATATATATGATAATAGAAAATCCTGTGAATATGATACAAACCTCAACTTCTCCTTGATCTATAACATAGAAGTTATCACCTTGATCTCCTTGCTGGATAATGGTTTCTCCAGCAGAATGTACTACAGGAAACATGGCATCAAAGATATCACTAAAAATGGAGAATTTGAATATGAGTTAGCAGATAATTTTCTGAAGTATGTCCAACAAGACTAACTACCTCTGAATAACAGCTACTCTATTTTTAGCAAAATATGCAAAAATAACAATGAAATTTCATATGTTATCAAATAAAACATGTTGATTGTAAAATACATGGTCAAATTATGTGACAGCAGATATTTTAACTGGGATGACTTCATAATTGTGCTCACAGACTTACTGAGTTTTTAATTTAGAGAAAACAACTCTCATAAAGTTGCCAATCTCTTTATGTTGGGTTGCTGTGATGAAAATAAGATTCTAAATAGCTTTGTTTTATTGCTAAGATTTTTGTTGAAAGACTTTGTTGAGTTAGGCAGGTAAGCTTTCTGTTACTTTATTGCCAGGTGTAGTTGCTAAGAGTTTTGGATCAAAATGAAATTTGCTTACCAGTTTGTCATATTCAACTTCTATTTTCTTAATATAACACGATTTTTTCATTTTCATATCTGCATTTTCATCACATCTACTCTGGCTGGGGAGTGCTTCCTTTTGAAAGTTTATTGGCATTGTGTTCTGAGAATTTTGTCATTTTGTCGTCATCATCGTTATTCAACTTAGGTGGTTGGAAATTCAGAGAATATTTCTTGTTGTTTTGGGTGCCCTGAAGGAGGACATAACCGAAATGCATGCTTAATTACACAATGTCTCTTTTTAGCTACATAAAGTCATTCAAGGTGGTCTACAATATTGTCTCTATTCTTCTAACATCAAGCTTTTCAATTAACCTGCACACAAAAATCTGCACCTACAAGATACATACATGTCATAATGGTTTCCTCAAGTATATTCAAGGTAAGTCATAATAAATGCCCTAATTTCATAGGTGCACTATGCAAAATGTAATAAATGTATTTATTAAAAATGTACATACATACAGAGGTAATATAAGAAAATTTTGAACAGTCGCCAATAGATGGCACTGGAAGTTCAATCATCATCAGCATTTCTGCAAAAACAAAATGGGAAGAAAAATGCCAACACAATAGCAAAAAGCATTTTGTGTGCTTGAGTTCTATGTTAACAAGTCTATTGTCACTGTTCAGCGCCAGTTCTGAACAAAATATGGATGAAGTCAATCTGTCATTAGTATACAAAATTTCAAGAGACAAGTTGCATTTGTAATGGAAAATCTACAGATCATCTTTCAGTAGGAGAAGACATAGCTGAGAGAATTGAAGTAAGCTATACGAGAAGCCCTTAAAAATGACATATCAAGCTGGATAAGAACTGGGAGTAGCCTAGAAAACTGTGTGGAGAGTTCTTAAGAGGCATTTGTAAATGAAACTGCATAGTTTGCAGTTGCTGCAGCACCTGAAACCCAAAGATCTGCTACGTCAATTATCTTCCTGTGAGACACTTTTCGCATTTCTGGATTAATAAATAAGCATAACATGAGAATTTGGAGTACTGAACATCTACATGTGCCAGTGCAGTATCAATGTGATTCCCCTAAGGTTAAAAGTGTTTTGTGAAATATCCCATGAAACTTACATTACTACATCTACAGTCAGTTTTTATCTATGTCTTTTTTACATCTGCACCTATGTTTTTTTTTACACAGCAGGTACCTGATTTTTCCTAGGTTCTCTCTACTGACTAATGCTTGATGATGCTCTGCAACGAATATTTAGACTAATCTATGAATAGCATGGACCTTAATTAATTCTTCAATTTTTTACAGATATCTTGTCCGTTTGCAAGCCCTGTTTAACAGTACTGGAATAAAGATCTATGCTTTTAAAGTACAATCTATGAAGAACAGGAAAACTCATACTTGGTCATTATATTGTATCTGTTGTTTGTGTGTTCTTGAGCCACTAATGACCCTCTACTACACTAATACTTTTATACTACTTTTTTTTTCCCCTTCACAAAAGGGTTATTTTAAACAGTTTTTTACAATTAGCTCATTTTTAAATATATATTTTTATGCTAGCATCTGATAAAAAAATCAATGCACCTTTAAGAATAATTTCTTTACAATATGCTAACATGATATTCGTTTATTAACTGCATGATAAAATTCGATGAAGATCAGACTATTTTCAGGCAAGTTATTACACAGTACTTGATTCTTTGTTGTTTAAATGACCATTAAATCTTGAATTAATAATGTTGGGAGGGGGGATAGTAGTTAAGAGAAGATATGCCAACTCAGCAAAGAAATGTGGAGTCTTAAAATGCTATTATATAAATAGTAACATAGTATATAAACAGCAAGACATTAATAACTAATGCACAGATCTGATTTAAAGATTCATCATTTATGTCTTGATACCATGGCCACTACCCTGTTTTCGAAAAAGAATGATGCATACAAAATTGTAACCATAATAATCAACCTATCGACCAGGGACCAGAATTTAATACTGCATGACATCAGAATTAGAGACATATGCATACCAATACACGTTATAAATTTAAAATACCTCTACCAGTTTATGGATTCACCAGCCAAATTCATGTATTAAATACAATTAGATTACTAAGTGTAAGCAATATGACAGATGGTAAAATATTAAAATATTTTTCTCATATAGGTAAAGCTACAAATTTAAAATGACAGAAGTTTATACATTACCTTCGCTCAGTATCATCCAGATGAGCAAAGAGAACATTTTTCTCAATGGCTTTGGAAAGTGCTGTCATAGTTTTATAATCTTTGGGTACAACCTGTAAATTGCATGAAAAAAAAAAAAAAAAAAAAAAAAAAAAACTAACTTAACAAAAGAACATTTAACTGCTTATTTATTAGTCTTAAATGTTATGCAGGAAAGGAAAGCAGATCATGGAAGGTGAGATGCAGACGTTTTCTTCATTTTTAAAAATTGCCTGTTTAAAACGCATTCCCATCTCTGTTAAAAATCTAACTTCTATATAACTTACAGAAGCTTTTCTATTTTGGAAAAGACAGATTATCATTCAAATAAAGCTACTCTCATAAAAAAAGAGCACAATTTATACAAATAAATGTGCATAAAAAGTCTATTTTTTATTACAATCTAAATTATTACAAATAATAATATATGTTGTATTAATTTCAGTACTTCCTGATTATCTGCACTCTAAGCCAACTCATTAGCAACTTAGTGAAAACCTTTCATGTGGTGAATTTTATGGCTCATAGGTAGCATTTTGTTTACAGGTGGTAATAAAAAGAGGGATGTTACAAGAAATAAAATATCTGTGAAAAAAAATCTACATGGCCAGTTTTTACATTTCTACAGCTGATTTTAACTGTACAGCAAGATGATGGTTAATTCCACTGGTATTAAACATGGGCATGAGTTGGTTACTTCCACTTACATACTCAGAAATACACCAGTGTCAAGCCTATTATTACTACTGTACTGTTTGCATTAAGCACTAAATAGCTACAAACTTTATTTTCCTTAAAATTTTAACAATTAGCTGTGTTATATATTAAGGCTCGTCAAATATCCTTTCAAAGTGGGGAGGGGGGGCACAAAAGAAACTAAATCCATTTTCTGATGCTTTAGAGTAATATAGGATACAGTTTTGTATTGCTATAATGGCTTTCACCATTAGATTTTTTTTTTTTGTGTGTGTGTGTGTTGTGTGTGCATGAATATTGCTCAACAATTTCCCCGATGGCAAACATTTTTTAAACAAAATTGCAGAGTGATCACAGATATTCAGTAGCAGGTTGTCCTCAAGTATAATGGCAGAAAAAAAGACATTTTGACCAGTTTTTTACTCTTATGTTTCCACTACAAAAAGTAACTCCATTTTATTAAACACAATTTTTGATGTCTCTCCTTGTATTATTGCAAAGTTGTTGTTTCATTTATGGTAGCCTGAGTAGTTGAATGTTATGGAAACCCTATTATAACATAATCGGGTGCAAGATTGCGGTAAATCTTGCTTGTGGCGTGTGTTGGTTAGGAAGTATATTGCTTGTTTTGTGGTTTAGATGGTAAAATACCTGAATGTGGTAATTAATTTGAAGTTTGTGTACGATTTGGAAGGAAAGGAGAAACAGCATTACTTGACTGGTGTGTAAATGAAGGTTTACTTAGTAGCCATTATTAGGTGTCCTGTTTGTAGGAAAGAAATGTGTATCGTCAAACCTTGGAAAAGCGTATAGTCGAACGTCGCTACGGAGGATATTTTTGTTAATTTATATGGCGACATGAGTATACAGAATCTAGTTCAGATAATTTTAGGAAGTTTTTGGATGCTGTTAAGGAATTTTGTTTGACTGAAGACATGTTAATTTGTAAATAAGGTAAGTGGACAGTTCCTTTGTGTAGTGCAATGATGAATTTTCTTTTTTATGTTATTCCATTATTTGATTTAAAATGTAGTTTATTGAGATTATATATTTTTTTGTTGGCTGCTCCTTTGACTTTTTAAGTGAATATAATTCGATGTGTACATGGACAAAGTCAAGGGAGTGCGCATAGCCTAGTTTGTGCAATGCTTTGATGATTTTTTTCAAGTGAAAATAGGTCGATGTGTACATGGATAAAGTCAAGGGAGACTGCAATAGCATTTTTGTGCAAAAATTGCTACTACACAAGCCAAAGAATTGCACAAACAGTCTCTGTGTACTGCCAACTCTCGTCACATTCTGGCACATAATTTAATGCTTGACAGAAAACTATTTTGGTTCTGAATGTTGAGTAAATATGTTTTGAAGGGAGATGAATTTATATTACCTGAGTATCTGTTCTGCAACGCTGAGTTACGAAGATTATTTTTTAAAGTACAATACATCTAAGATCTACCAAAATTTGAAGAAAAGTCCAATAATCTTGGATGCGAATTCATTAAGAAATCCTCCTTTACTATCACAAATTATAAAATGGACCAAAATTCTAAACTAAAAAGTTATCTTAATTTTACTAGCCTATTTAACCGTCAAAGAGTCAAGTTACATCTGATATTACAGTGCACAAGAAAAGTAACCAAAATTTAAACCCAACTGCTTTATCAGCCCCATGTGAGTGACATGGTCCCAATGTATCAGCGAAGTGTCAGTAACACATATGTGCCCAGTATAGCTGTGTATTTATTAATTTAGAGTCAATGGAACCCTTAGGGTTCTTAATAATATATCTTAAAAAGGTGACTGCAGCAGGATTTACAAAGTGAAAGCATGTTTCATTTTCGATCAGGCAATAAGTGGAATTGCTTCCAAAAAATTGTTAATGGCATATGTCTCAAAATTACTCAAGCGTATGGATGGATGACACAGAATAACAGAAAAAAGGAATTTTTGACTTTTTTAGGATTCTTACATAACAGAAACATTATGCTAAAAGTAATGAATGGATGGATAAGAGGGCATCGCAACTATGGCATGCCATTGACAACGTTAACAGTTCAGAATAAAATATTTGATAAGGAAATTAGATTTTAAAAATCTGATGTGTACACCACATGACTTCCTTGTACGGAATATTAAATTATAGGCATTTTTTCTTGCATTTCGTTAAAACTTATTGGATTGAATTAAACCTACTTCACCGACAGTGCATAAACCACAATAGAATAAATGCATTCTTTAAAATTCACTTTATTTGTTTACCATAGCGACACTCTGTCGTTAGGTTCACTTAACAGTATTAATATAATCCAATAATTATATAACAGTTAACTTACATATTTCGTTCATATTATAACTCATAATGCACAAAATTTATATCATTTAAAGAATAGAACTGAAATTTTGTAGAAAATTAAATCAACTTCTACCAATTAATAGAACTTTAAGCTTATGCAATTAACTAATATAGGTCATTAATTAACTAAACTCTTTTATAAAGCTTTATTGGTATTTTTTCACAAAAAATATTAATTAAAAAAGGGGCTAATCTTTAGAATATGGTAACAGGTAGTTTGGCGACATTTTGGTAAGGCGATAAAGGTTACTAGCTAGGACTTTAGCAATAATCTGAGAAGTACACACTTCGAATCACAGATTATTTTGTCTCAGAGAAATGGGAAATCATGAGACATGTAATGTGACATTTTCCAGAAAATTTCGATCGTGATTTTAGCTAATAAGTGCTTAGAAACAATTTCACTGCTAAAGTGCAGAATCGCCCACTTATTTGTATGGCGCTTCTTACAAGAGTAAGAAGAATTGGATTTCTGTCAATTTTCTTTGACTTTTTAAGTGAAAATAGGTTGATGTGTACATGGATACCATGTATGTGCAATTCTTAAAAACGCGGCAAGCAGTTTGCGATTCTGCATTTTCTCCCAATTTTGCACCTGATCTTTGTCATGATTAAGCATTTTTGTTCCATAAAAGTTCTAGTACAAGCGTAATTCGGCTAGCAGATTGTTGGAAAAAATGTTGAGTTAAAAAAAAAAAAAAAAAAAAAAAAAAAAGCCTTTACTTTGTGAAAACAAAATGGCGTCCAAAACAAAACTAGCAGGGTTGGTCGACAAATTTTCGCCAAGTTACCATAATGTAAAGATTCACCAAAAAAGGATTAGTTAAAAAAAGATCAGTAACTGATTGAGGTTACCTCTGTTAAAATTGTTTAGTTAATTATCAGATTTTTATTAATCTGATATTCTTTTAATGAAAATTAAATTTTGTTTTGTTTCAGTTTATTCGCCTTCTTGAAGTGTCATTTTCATGTACAGTGTGCAGTTAATTGTTTGGATGCTGATTTATTAGATATAACGAAACATATCAGCTATGTAATATTTCAGTAAGGGCTTGGATTTATTGACTAATAGCAAAGGACACTACATGAGTAAGGGGAGAGACGCCTTTGTCGAAGACTTTCTCAGGAACTTGTTTGTATCAACATTGTACATTAAAGAAAGCCCAATCATCTTATGCACCGAGTTCATTTGCCAGATCGAGCTATCAGTGTTTGGTGATTTTACCACTTGGTAACTCTTGGCAGGGGGACATTAACATGAGTCATTGGGAATATTAGAATTAAAAACTATTCCTCATTCCTTCTTGCCCACACAAATCATTATGTGAATATGTAGTCAAATACCTTTAAAGCCTTATATTTTTTATATACTTTTAAAGCCTAATGTCTGCAATGTTATCATCATACGATGATTTAAAGATGCTTTAATTTTTACCATGATATTTTTTATAAAATTTTTTTTTAAACTGCAAAGTTTTTTAAATGCTTTATTTTCAATGATGTTTTATATCACGATGTTTTAAAACTGATATTTCCTCCCCCGATGTTTTTGCTTTACAGTGTTTTCTCTGCAACATTTTTGGCAGACACCACGTAACTGTGATAGTAATGTAATGATGTCAGACTTAGGAATAATTGGAGAAATATTGAAAACATTTTACCAAATGAACATTTAAATACAGAGAATGAAAAAATAATCCCACTTTCTTTTCCAAATGCTATCAGCAAAGAAAAAACATTTCAAAAACTCAATTCAGTGTTTTTCTTAAAATTCAAAATCAAAAGACATGCCAGATGATAAAAAAATTTTCATTAAAATAGTTAAAAATTTTCTCTAAAATGTTCTCGAGGGAAAAAAAAAAAAAAAAACTTATTCAAGATTATAATTCACATAAAGGTATGACTTTGTTTTTTTTCTAGTTTTATATAACAACATACAGAAATTTGTATTCTTATTATTTTAAAATGTATTAATATCATTTTAAAATATTAATTATAAAAAATTGCTTAAATTTTATAACTGTT